TTGTTATGCAACTAAACAGGTGTATATGATTGATGATATGGAAACTGAACGTATCTGAAATAGGTATTATATGATTGAGAAGCTCATAGGCAAAATAATTAGTGAAACATGACGATATTATGTTATAGCCCTCCACTGTACGGAGAATAATTGCATAGTTATTAATATCTGCTAAATCATCCATCATCATATTTTTATAATTAATGTAAGAACAAATGATTAAAAATATAAATGAGTGAAATAGAATAAATTCTTTTTTGCCATAACCTTCTCTACTATTCTTTTATTCTTTCCCATCTTTAATCATCAAAAGCAAAATAAAAGACCACTTGAACTTTGAAAGACTAATTTTCCAGATACAGTAAAAAHCCGCGTATAAGAACMTAGGTTTCGGTAAGCAAAATACTACACTACAAAACAAATCAAAACCTATTCTGTATAGCCTTCACTATAAGTAAGAGATAAATACCGAGAACGGAGGCAATAATCCATATAAAGCACGAGGGGCCGTAGGACTTATTTCATACTTGAAGAAGTTTCCCAAGCACTGCATTAATATTTTCATTTTAAAATAGGCAAAGAAGCCGTTTTCATATGAACTAAAAACCAAAACCTCGATTAGAAAGGTTACGAAATTTACTGYATTGACAATTCCCAACGGTAATAATTTGCATAAATATTTTTTTCGTTAGTCCCATGAGACCAATGCCAACAATATACCTTTTGTAACAAGTAACTGGACAATATTAAATAACTGTTTTATTCCACAACTGACATCGATTAGTCAGTTAGCATAGCGTGTTAAGTATAGGATTTTTCAAAGCTAAGGTTGTGGGTTCGAATCTACTTGGTGTCATTTGAWTTTTTCTTTCTTTCTTTCAAGTTTAAAGTTTCAGACGGAAAATTTCTAAGTTGAACGTAGTAGTTAATTAGGTATTCAAGGGAAATAAGTACATTAGTATTCAAGGGCAATATCTAGATATTGCCCTGAAACTTCGATATAAAGCACTTGAATACACAACGAGCTGTGGAATAAGCTAGATACAACACTATGAATAACAAAGAAAACTGAATCAAGTATGAAATAATTCCTACTAAATATTGTATACAAAACAACATGACCGTGATAAAGTTCCTCTTTAAAAATGTTCACTGACGAGTTTTATGTAACTATGCTGTAACTACTGTAATCAATGTGTACAGACT